CTCCTGGATTTTGATGCTTGTTCCCTTTGCCATATTGGGGAAATTCTCTCCAATAATTCTCTCCAATATACCTTCTGCTCCCCTCTGTTTCCTCTTCTTCTGGAATCCCAATTGTTCTAATGTTGTTTCATCTTATGGTGTCACTTATCTCTCGAATTCTCCCCTCGTGGTCCAGTAGCTGTTTGTTCCTCTTTTGCTCAGCTTCTTTATTCTCTGTCATTTGGTCTTCTATATCGCTAATTCTTTCTTCTGCCTCATTTATCCTAGCAGTGAGAGCCTCCATTTTTGATTGCACCTCATTAATGGCTTTTTTGATTTCAACTTGGTTAGATTTTAGTTCTTTTACTTCTCCAGAAAGGGCTTTTATATCTCCCAAGAGGGTTTCTCTAATATCTTCCATGCCTTTTTCGAGCCCGGCTAGAACCTTGAGAATCATCATTCTGAACTCTAGATCTGACATATTACCAATGTCTGTATTGATGAGGTCCCTAGCCTTTGGTACTGCCTCTTGTTCTTTTTTTTGTGGTGAATTTTTCCGCCTTGTCATTTTGTCCAGATAAGAGTAGATGAAGGAGCAAGTAAAATACTAAAAGGGTGGCAACAACCCCAGGAAAATATGCTTTAGCCAAATCAGAAGAGATCCCAAATCGTGAGGGGGGAGAAAGGGGATAAAAAGAGGTTCAGAAAGGAAAAAAAAGAACCAATTAAAAAAAGAAAACCAATAATGAAAAATATAAAAATGAAAAATATATATATATATATTGGATAAACTAGTTAAAAATGTTAAAAAAGAAAAGGGTAAAAGTTAAAAAAATTTAGCAGAAGAAAGAAAAAAAAATTGAAAAATTAAATTAACTGCAAGGCTAAAGAATCATGGGGAGAAAGCCATGAGTTCCGTGCTTTGCTTTCTCCTCCTCTGGAATTCCACTGCTCTCCTTGGTATTAAAACTGCACTCCTTGGTAGGTGAACTTGGTCCTGGCTGGGTTTCTTGTTGATCTTCTGGGGGAGGGGCCTGTTGTAGTGATTCTCAAGCATCTTTGCCCCAGGCGGAGTTGCACTGCCCTTACCCGGGGCCGGGCTGAGTAATCCGCTCGGGTTTGCTTTCGGGAGCTTTTGTTCCCTGAGTGCTTTCCGTAGAGTTCCGGAGGGCGGGAATGAGGATGGCGGCCTCCCGGTCTCAGGCCTGGAGGAGCCGAGAGCTCGGGGCCTCACTCCTCAGTGCGCCCTCAGAGAACAGCGCCCATTTATTCCCGTCTCCCTGGCCTCCGGCCGTGCTCCGAGCTGACCGAGCCTGCGACCGGTTCAAGGTAACCCCGAGCTTAGAGCTCACTCCTTGGCTCTGTCTCTGTAGCCGGCTTCCCCGTTCTAATACCTGTAAGCTCTGCGACACTCGGACACCCCGATCCTTCTGTGACCCTGTGGGGCCACGCTGACCCCGCGTGAGCTTCACCCCGGTTAAGCCTCTGGAGCGATGTCCCTCAGCGGAACAGACTTTTAAAAGTCCCGATTTTGTGCTCCGTTGCTCCGCCGCTTGCCGGGAGCCGGCCCCTCCCCCCGCGGTCTATCTTCCCGTCGCTTTGGATTCACTTCTCCGCCCGTCCTACCTTTCAGAAAGTGGTTGATTTTCTGTTTCTAGAGTTGCTGTTCTTCTTCTCTTCGATCTCCCGTTGGATTTGTAGGTGTTTGCAATCTTTAGATAAGCTATCTAGCTGATCTCCCGCTACCTGAAGTAGTCTCAGCCTGCTACTTCTCCGCCATCTTGACTCCTCCCCTCACTGGGTTGATTTTTGTTGGTGACTCTATGCCTCATGGATCTGGGTATGTTTCCTTCCCCAGATGAGGGAAATTTTCAGCTATTCTTCATATAGGTTTTCTGTCCTCTTTTCTCCTTCTGGGATTCTTATAATGTGAATGTTATACTTGATACTATTGCTGTGTTTCCTTAGTCTATTTTCACTTTATTTTTCTCCTATTCTACTTGATTGCTTTCCATTACTCTGTTCTCCAGGTCATTGACCTATTCTCCTTTTAGTCTATTTATTCCATCTAGTGTATTTTTAATTTCAGTTACCGAGGTCTTCATCTCTGATTCTTTGTTTTGTCTCTTTGTTGATGGTCTCACTGAGGTCTCCCACTCTTTTCTCAAAACCAGGGAGTATCTTTCTGGCCATTACTTTAAATATTCTATGAGGAATATTATCTATTTCATTTAGCTCTTGCTATAATTTTGTTCTTTCATATGAGACCTATTCCTCTCTCATTTTGTCTGTCTCTTTCTATGTGTTTTGAGAGTCTGCTATGCCTCCTGCTTTTGGAAGTAGGGGCCTTATGAAGAAGAGGTCCCGTACGGCCCCGCAGTGCAATGTCCCCTGTTCACTAGAACCTGACACTTCACGAACATCCCCCTTATTTGTTGCATGTGTCCTATTGTGGCTAAGCCACATTTGCGTTCAGTCCAGTTGTCTGCAGTGGCTCTGCCTGTTGTGGCAGGGTTTAGTCCCTGGGTTTTTAGTGGGTCCATCTGGGGCTGCCTTGGGCTTAAAGTGAGTCAGATCAGGGGTCTGGGAAATGATATAGTACCACATTGCAAGGCTCTTTCCCTGTGTTGTATTTTGAGAAGATTTCATTGGTTGGAGAGGACTTGCAGTCAGACTAGATGCCTGTCTCTCCTGCCCCCATGGCTCGGGCCCACCGTGAGCCTGGTATATGGTCATCTTTCCCTCTACCTAGAGCAGGAGTCACTTTAGGGTGGTGGTGGCTCCTGTAGCAGCTGCTTGCACACTGCCGGGCTTGTGATACGTCCCTGGATGCGCTCAGCCACAGGCCTCTTGGAGTGAGCAGGTCCTGGGGAGAACGCAGGGGCGGGGTGTGTGGTGCCATTGAGTCAGACATATTTAAAATCTTATAGTAGCCTATTAAAACCAAAAGTAGATTGATTTCAAAATACTATATTTCAAAAAAAATTTCACCCGGTATATCCTAAATATTAACATTTTAACACATAATCACTTTAACAAGTGAGATCTTCTGCCTGCTCTTTTTTGTGTGTGAAGTCATCACAAACTGGTGATATGTTTTATGCTTCTGGCACATCAGTTTGCAGTAGCCATGTTTCTGGTGTGTGGGAGCCACAGGTCCAGACCCATGTGTCTCATTCTTTCTTCTTCTCTTCATTCTCCTCAATGCGTGACCCTTTGTTTTGCCTGTTCTTTCCGGCAGTTTATGCTTTTCTTTCCTGCAGCTTGGGACTCACCTTGTAGTTACTGTGGCTCATTGTTGAACTCCTCATGAATTTTGGTCAAAACTGTTTCCTGAGGGGCGCCTGGGTGGCTCAGTGGGTTAAAGCCTCTGCCTTCGGCTCCGGTCATGGTCCCAGGGTCCTGGGATCGAGCCCCATATCGGGCTCTCTGCTCAGCGGGGAGCCTGCTTCCTCCTCTCTCTCTGCCTGCCTCTCTGCCTACTTGTGATCTCTGTCTGTCAAAAAAATAAAATCTTTAAAAAAAAAAAAAAACTGTTTCCTGAAACCAATTCCTATTTGTCGGTAGAGAGCAGGTGTCCTGGTAAGAGGCCCTCAAGGAGACTGTTGTTGTTGGAGACACTGGTCCCTCTGGGCACACAGGAGCCTCCTCCTTAAGTAAAGTCTGTTGAAATGAAGGAGGATGATTCCATTTTTGTGTATGGGGAATAGTGATTTTTATTTTGAATTTTCAGAAGTGAGGGACATAGAGAATGAGCATGAATGTTGTTTATTGGGGGGTAAAATACCTGCTATAGGTGAATGCTTTGTATTAAAAAAAATGCTCCTTACAAATCAGATTGAATTCTATAGAGGTCAAAACCATTTCCAAGGTTTTGATTCCAAAGTTCTGCTGTTAAGGTAAGTTACTTCCTATCTTTGAAGATCAAACACAGTCCTATTGTGTATATTTGTATGTATAAACACACACACAAAGGTGAATCTAACAAAAATAATTTCAAAGTAACTTCATTTAATACTATTTTTCATCTTACTGCAGAAAATCTGAACAATTGACAAATATCCCAGTAAAGTTATAGAATTTAATTTTTTTTATTATGTTGATATGCATATGCATACTTTGTTCTTTTTTGTTGTTAGAAACTGAAAATAGGAAGATCCTCATTATTTGCCTGAAGAAAGCTATTAATATTGACAACAAAGAAGTGATGAAAATAGAGGTCCACTTTGATTCGCAATTCAACATATCACAAGCTTCCATTGAAGCTTTAGGAGAAGACAGACAGGTGGCAGATTTAGTTCTTGATTATTTAAATGTTTTCGCGTGTTTTTTTCCTGTTTCTACCTTGCTTGTTGGGTTTTGATGTGAACATTTGCTCAAGCAGATAGCTTAATCTTTGGAATATCATGTTATGATAGTTGAGAGTCTGGGTTCTAATCCCAGTTCTTTCCATAGATCATTGCCTTAGGTCAGGCACAAGGTCTCTTTTTACCTCAAAATGCTTTAAACCACTTATTGTGAACCGTTAAATTTTCTAGGATAACATCCCTACCTCGCCACAATCTTCCTGAAGTTTTGAGGATACTTGCTGTGGGCTTCTTAGCATTTCCTTCTCTTCCTCTAATCCTTGAGAACTGAAGGGAATCACTAGAAATAAGGAGTTTTTCCTGAAGTTCGGTCTCCTGGTCTTCAGGTGAAATGGTCCGCTTCTCTTCAAGAATGCTATGGCCTCCATATCACTCATTATAATGTATCCTATTTACATGCAAGAGCACAATGCCTGGGGAAAACCTGGGTGGCTCAGATGGTTAAGCTTCTCCCTTTGGCTCAGGGTGATTGCAGGGTCCTGAGATCGAGTCCCTGCACAGGGAGTCTGCTTCTCCCTCTGCCTGACCTAATTTACCCTGCTTATGTGGGATCTTTCTATGGTAAATAAAATCTAAAAAAAAAAAAAACCCTTAAAAAATGCGCAATGCCTTTATCACAGATGGCAGGCAGAGCAAAGATATTTGTGATTAAAAAAAAAAAAAAAAAGACCTAAGATACTATGGTAGTGGCCATTAGGAGGTTGAATTAAGAGATCAGAGAACTGAGGGAAGAAGCCTTCCTTTTGGCACTGAGTTGTACATGAAAACATGTTATAGTCTATTAAGTGCTTTGTAGCAGAGTTTCCAAATCCTCACTACATGAAAAGACCATTTCATGGATGGAATGAGAAATAGAGTAGAATCAACCACTTAATTAAAAAAAAATACTTCCTATATCATGTTACATATGAATTGGCCTAACACTGATGCTAGACTGGCTGAGACCCCAAGAGGGAGGACCTCCAACTCCAACTCGGCTTTATGGGAGAACGAATTCAAGAACAAGTCTTGTAGAGAAAGGGACAAAGAATTATCAAGTCTAGAAGTAAGAAAGGAGCTCATTCACATAGTAGTTTCTCCTCCCAGATGAGGAAAGCAGACCCTCCCACTGCACCCCCATTGCCTCTGTTGAAGGGTTTTATATGTTTAAAATTAACCAGATAGAGAGGGGCTTTCTAAATTTGGGTTTATCATTTACAGTTGGCAATAAGATTAACTTCTTTTCTAACTTATATTGTGTTCTGAGCCTTAAGTTTTCCTTAACAAAAATGTTCAGTTTACTTCTCTTTTAAAGATCATGTGGATTTTGGCTTGCATTTTAGATGTTGCCTGACCAGACGAGAAGCTCCTCAGAACTTTCTAGTAAATTTGAGAAAGAAGACCTTGATGTTCCTAGCACCCTTGAAAGAGAGACAGGTATATTGGGAAATAAAATTTCCTACTCTGAATTCCTTTTGAAAACAATGACACAACCTTACTTGGAAGAGGTCACTGCAAGCCTGTGGTGTGGGAGAGTAATTAGTATACCATTGTACCTACAGAGAACAAAGCTGCTAGCCACCTTGAATCCTTTTCCCTACCCAATATATTGTCTTGTGGGTCAAATGGAAATGACAAAGGAGAAAAAAGAGTCATGGCTGTGGCTACCCACAAAGCTGACCTGCACAGATCCTGTATCTATTAGGAGTTAATCTCAAAGCCATTTCTCAAAGTCCCCATAAATTTTGGATTCAGAAGTTTAATGCAGAATGTAACTACCGGCTCTTACCAATAGATGGCGATGAACCTACAGTGTGGGGTCCCATGGAGAGCAATTAGAGAATGCGTTCACCAGGGAGTATGGTTACTGTTACCACTTTTAATGCTCTGTTCTCTGTGTATAGACCAGAAAGAAGAATCCACCAAGCTGGCAGAGTTAATGAGTGCCAAAGATGACCAATGCCCAATAACTCTCCCCTTAAATGACCAGTCTGAGCCTGTCGTGAGTATAGGATGCTGGGTACAAGATTCTGAACTGTGTCTGCCAGGATGCAGACAGGTAGAAGCCACTTCTCCTGGCTTGTCATTTTTTTTCCCTAACCAACCATTTCTCCCTTTTTTGGACTGTCCTCTCCTTTAGATCATTTTTGTCTGACATATTTATGTGTTCTCTTCTTTGACACAGCTTGGCTGTCTTTAGAATGTGTGACTTGGCTGGCTCTGCCTCCTTCCTTCACTTTGAATCTAGAGACCAAGATATAGGGAAAGGAGTTTAATGTTTGAAGTTAGACCTGGTTTTCACTTACTAGATATAGGAACTTGGGAAAATTAATACCACTGAGTCTGAGGCCTCTTATCTATAAAATGGGGGTAATAGCTCCTTTAAACTGTAGCCCTTAGATACTCTACATCCTGTTTTTTTTTTTTTAAAGATTTTATTTATTTATCAGAGAGAGAGAGAGGAAGAGAGAGCAAGCACAGGCATACAGAATGGCAGGCAGAGGCAGAGGGAGAAGCAGGCTCCCTGCCGAGCAAGGAGCCCGATGCGGGACTCGATCCCAGGACTCTGGGATCATGACCTGAGCCGAAGGCAGCTGCTTAACCAACTGAGCCACCCAGGCGTCCCTACATCCTGTTTTTAATCCTAACCTACTGTTAGACATATATAGGTATTCAGACCAGTCCTCATTTTCTTATATTTGATTACATGGATATTACACAGAAATGTAACATAGTGTTTTTAGTACTGACAAAACTCCTGAGGGCAGATACATCAATTTTTTGAAATAGCCAACAGTCATTAGGAATCCAGTCTAATGAGTAAAAACCCAGTATCTTCGTATTTAGAAATGCTTTTCTTTGGATATGTAAAGTGACTCTAAAAGAACTTTAAAAGAGGGACTTCAAAGTCACCATATTTTTTTTTTTTCTACAGCAAAGAAATACAGCAGATAGTTCACCTGAAAAACAGAAACCAGATGACCTACAAGGTCAGCTTTGAAAAAAAAATCTATCCTAAGACTTGAGTAGTATACTTACATATTTACTTGAAGCTTAACCATTTTTGTTTTGAATTTTCATGATTGGAAGTCACTTCAAAAGATTCCTCAGATTTACAAGAACCATCAGTAAAAATTCAGGATCCTAAATTAAATGACAAATCCAGGTATGTGACTTTCAAAGTTATTAAACCATGTTGATTGCTATTAATGTGACCAGATAATGGATAAGTCAACTGTCTTTCCATCTTTGCCGCATCTGGCCACACCCCACACAAGGACAGAGCATTGTGTGCAGTGTTCTGTGGAATGATTTGAGTAGTGTTGGGATGTTCTCCTGACCTACAGATCTCTACCAGTACACCGCCAGTGATACATTTGATGTATTATTCCCAGCTAGGAAACACATATCACCTGACATTGATTTGCTACTTTTCCATGTAGGTCTATGAAGAATGGGTCATAAGACAAGTAATTCTTTATAGCTTTATATAGAGACAACTGGAATAAAATAAACTGTGCATATTTAAAGTATGTCATTTGAGTTTTTAACCTATGTCTATACCAAGGACAGTCACTACAATCAAGATAAGGTACCTATCCATCATCTCCAAGATGTTCTTGCCTTTTCGAAATCCTTCTGCCCTGCCCTTTTTGTCCCCCTTACTTGCTCCCTTGCAATCACTGATTTTTGCCATGATAGATGAGTTTGCAATTTAAAAAATCTGATATAAATGAAATCAAAGTGTATAATTTTTTCCTACCAGCTTCTTTTGTTCAGCACAATTATTTTGAGATTTATCCATATTATGTATATCACTAGTTCATTCTTCTAAATTGCCAAGTAATAGTTCCTTCATGGATATACCACTGTTTGTGGATCCATTCACCAGCTGGTGGCCATTTTGAAGTCCCAGTTTTTTGTTATAAGGAAAGCATTTGGGATCGTATATAACCCTTTGTATGGACGTGGATTTTCTCTTGAATAAATACATAGGAGTGGAATGACTGGATCATTGTTGGTGTATGTTTACCTTCTAAGAAACACTGCCAAAATGTTTCCTAAAGTGGTTAAACCATTTATCATTCCCACCAACAGTCTTTGAGAGTTCTAGATGCTCATACTCTTCCTAATACTTGGTAATGTTAATCTTTTTAATCTTAGCCCTTCCAGCAGAAATGTAATGATATTTCATTGTGGTTTTAATTTGCATTTCTGTAATGACTAATGGTATTTGAACATCTTTTCATGTGTTTATTTTCCATCTTTACCTCTTGGGTAATAGATCTTCAAATTTTTCACTATTAAAAATGATTTGCTTTAAGTGTTCTTTATATATTCTATATATAAGTCCTTTTATTAGGTATGTTTAAGCTTTTCTCCCTGTCTAGGGCTTAACTTTATTTTTATAAGTCTTTTTTTAATCTTTCATAGCTATTGAAGGCCTGATGTACATAGCTAATACAGCTTGTTAGACACCTAATAACCTTTACTAAATGCATTGAATTCCATATATTCAGTCTTCACCATATCCCTAAGGAATGTATTTTCACCTCCGTTTGCTAAAGGAGGACATGAGGACAAAAGAACTTAAGGACATATCCCTAGAAAGTGCTGGTTTAACTATAACCTATCTTTAAAGAGCAAAAGTTCTTAGTACTCATTAAGCTCAATTGATTGTTTTTTCCCAATTCATTTTTTTCTTCTATACTTTATGCTTTTTTTGTGATGTGCTTAAGAAATCTTAGGCAAACTAATGATCAGTTTCCCTACATTTTCTTTGTTTTAAATTTTTTTCAGTGTTCCAAGATTCATTGTTTATGTACCATAACCAGTGCTCCATGCAATACATGTCCTCTTTAATACCTGTCACCAGGCTCACCTAACCCCCTCCCCCCTCCCCTTCAAAACCCTCCATTTGTTTGAGTCCACAGTCTCTCATGGTTCATCTCCCCCTCCGATGTCCTCCAATTCACTTATCTTTTCCTTCTCCTAATGTCCTGCACGTTATTCCTTATGCTCCACAAGTAAGTGAAACCATATGATAATTGACTCTCTCTGCTTCACTTATTTCACTCAGCATAATCTCTTCCAGTCCCGTCCATATTGATACAAAAGTTAGTTATTCATCCTTTCTGATGGAGGCATAATACTCCATAGTGTATATGGACCACATCTTCCTTATCCATTTGTCCATTGAAGGGCATCTTGGTTCTTTCCACAGTTTGGCGACTGTGGCCATTGCTGCTATAAACATTGGGGTACAGATGGCCCTTCTTTTCGCTACACCTGTATCTTTGGGGTAAATACCCAATAGTGCAATTTCAGGGTCATAGGGAAGCTCTATTTTTAATTTCTTAAGGAATCTCCACACTGTTTTTCCAAAGTGGCTGCACCAACTTGCATTCCCACCAACAGTGTAAGAGTGTTCCCCTTTTTCCACATCCTCTCCAACACACGTTGTTTCCTGTCTTGCTAATTTTGGCCATTCTAACTGGTGTAAGGTGGTATCTCAATGTGGTTTTAATTTGAATCTCCCTGATGGCTAGTGATGATGAACACTTTTTCATGTGTCTGATAGCCATTTGTATGTCTTCATTGGAGAAGTGTCTGTTCATGCCTTCTGCCCATTTTTTGACATGATTATCTGTTTTGTGTGTGTTGAGTTTGAGAAGTTCTTTATAGATCCTTGATATCAGCCTTCTGTCTGTACTGTCATTTGCAAATATCTTCTCCCATTCCATGGGTTGCCTCTTTGTTTTGTTGACTGTTTCCTTCGCTGTGCAGAAGCTTTTGATCTTGATGAAATTGGACAGCTATATGTAGAAGAATGAAACTTGGTCATTCTCTTACACCATACATAAAGATAAACTCGAAATGGATAAAAGACCTCAATGTGAGATAGGAATCCATCAGAATCATAGAGGAGAACATAGGCAGTAACCTCTTCAATATCAGCCACAGCAACTTCTTTCAAGATAATGTCTCCAAAGGCAAAGGAAACAAAAGCAAAAATGAACTTTTGGGTCTCCCGTCAGTTTTGCTTGGGTTGAGTCGTCCTGCCCCCTATCAAGGGACTGGGTTCTGTGGAAACTGGTTTTTCAGGCTTTTGTTCTCTGGAGGTTTTTGTTCTTTGGCTGCTTTTTGGGCTTTTCTGAGGTTTAGTGGAAAGCAAACTGTCTGCACCCAGATCTGTCTCAGAAGCCTCAGTCTGCTTCCCTCTGGGTGGTCCAGAACACACAGACTCCCCCTCTGCAAACTCAGCTGAACAGCACAACCTCTTACAGGCAGTGTGCACCCCCAGCCACTACCATCCCAGTGGTCACCTGAGGTGCCTGCCTATCTCTGCACCCATGCTTCTAAACCCACAAGCAATATTGGTCTGAGGAGCCTGCTTTCCGTGGCAGTGGCCGCCTTTGCCGGGACTGCTGTCTGGGGTCCAGGCCCATGCAGGGTGCACTCAGACCCTGGGTTTGCACGGTTTGAGGAAGGCTGCTGCTAAGAGATTCCGACCAGAGATCATGTTGGGTTCGCTTAGGCATGTGCTGGGAGTGTTCAGACCCTTGGGCCGGTCATGGAAGGGGGGCAGTCCTAGAGACTGGCAGCTGGCGCCCACACCAGGCTTTCTCAGGTGCGGGCAGAAGGGGGAGTGCGCCCAGCTGAGTGGTGGTGCAAGCAGTGGGAAGCCTGGAGCTCAGGGATCACAGTCTGGAGGCTCCACAGCATGTTCTCTGGCACAGGTGTTTACCGGCAGGGGCCATCCTAGGTCCGTGGGCTTAAGCACGTGACTATGACCACCTGATTCCACCAGTTGCCCTTTAAGATCTTTTGCTCTTTTTGAGTGCTTTTAACCAGACTCTAAGTTAATGCTGGTTCCCAACCACAGGGCACTTTCGTATTGGGGTATTACTTTCCAATGGGTTGCTTCTGGTGGCTCCCTTCCCCTTTTGCTTATCCTTCGATATCAGTCTGAGCGTTCCCACTCTGCTTTACCTCTCCACTGGTGTCGTCTGCCCCCGT